GGAGGAGGAGGAGGAGGAGGAGAAGAAGAAGAAGGTGGCATTACAAGTTCCTAGGATCGACATTTTGGAGTATCATATTTCAGCTTATGAAAATGCCAAGCAAGTTATTCATTCTATCTGTATGAGCCTTAGACTCCTTTCCAGGAAGTTACACGGATTAGACAAGTTGATCAGCCACTGGGCTGGTTAAAGAGGAAAATAGGAGCCCAAGAGTCCCCTATCTTGGGCATATGAGACCTGGCACTCCCCTCAACGTACTCCATCCCACACAAAAGAGGCACCCATGTTAGGACATAATGGTTGATCAAAGAGCTGGGAATGGGATTCTGAGTCCCAGGTTCAAATCTTAGCTCTGTCCACAGCTTTCACTGTGATCTCAAGGACATATTGTCCACATAATGGCATATAAAGCAATTGAAGAAGCGAATGGGAGTTAATCTTGCCTGACAGCTCACAATTACAAAATGTTCATCTGTCCAGTATCTTTCACTAGCCAATCTCAGTACCACCCAGGAACTGAGTAATGCTTAGAAATGGTAGAAATGATAGTGGTGCAGGCAAGATGGATTCCAGAGTGATGAGCAGAGGGGAGAGTCTCCTAGTTTCACACTATGTCCCCAAGCTCCCACTAGCCTAGGCCAGGGTTAACAAATGACAACCTGCTCTGGAATGACTGTGAGCTAAAAGGGGTTATCAAGGAGGGCTTGCAGCCAGTCTGGTGACAGGAAAGAGGACTTTGAGCCCATGTTAGGAGAAATGTCATTCTTTAACAGAGAACTCCAGGGCCCGTGAGGTGGCTTAGCAGGCAGAAGCGTCTGCCGTGCAAGCCGGATGACCTGAGTTTGGTCCTCTGAACCCACAGTGGAGAGGGAGAACTCCCGAAAGATGTCCTTGGAGATCCACTAGCATGCCTGTGTGGGCACATGTGTGTACACACATCATCCCTCTCTCTCTCTCACACACACACACACACACACACACACACACACACACACACACACATATACACATGCAAAAACAAACTAGAAAACCTGTTCTTATTTTTAGATATCTAATACAAAAAAATTATACTTGATTATTTACTTAGACTTTAGTCAGTCACATTTTGGTGGGAATGAATTCCTTTGTTCTGCTTGCTAGAGCACCCCACTGTCACCTTTCGCCCTGGTGGCAAAAGCCATGTGTTAGTCAGGTTGTCCAGTAGCCCCATCCTCCCTTTTAAACAACTTGACCTAAGCCATCTATGTCTTCCTTCCACGGCACAGCCCGCAGCAGCTCTCTGGCGGTACTTCGCCTCGCCAGTCCTCTGCAGCAGACGTCCCTGAGTCCTGCACATGCTCTCTGGTGGTATTTCGCCTGAGTCCTGCACATGCTCTCTGGTGGTATTTCGCCTGAGTCCTGCACATGCTCTCTGGTTCCCGTGCCTGTCCACACTCCTCGCTGCTCACTGTTTTCTCTGACAGCCACCCCCTCCCCTTCAGCCAGGATGGATGTCTTCTTCAGGGTCTCTTGCTTCTCCGGCACCTTGCACAGGCTTCCCCCTCTGCCTAAGGCACATTTTCGACCCAATGCCAAGTCTTCTTGGTCTTCCAGTTCATGGAAGGCATCACCCGCCTCTGGAAAACTTCCCCAGCTCCACTTCCCTTGTTAGGCACCTCTGCTGCCCTTCCACAGCCTCTGCTCCCTGCCATTCCCAGTGACCACACTCATTAAATGCCTGTGGCCTCTACTAGACTGGGAGGCCCTCGGTGCCAGAGTTGATCCAGTTCTACACCGATGGACATGCTCATCAATGACAAGGCTCCTGCTCTCCCTCGCTACTTGAGTAAGGGGCAGGCAAGGGCTGGGAATGGGTATCATGAAGCCCAATTCATTTCCTTCTCTGGGCTGCGGTTCTTCATCTGTACAATAGGGGTACAGTGTCCCTTGCTGGCTCTCAAGCTTGGGTCAAGGGTGGGAGTGGAACCTTGTGTGGCGTAGTGTCAGCAGCTGATCTCCCAAACAACTTGATCAATCCTCACAGGCAACCCCAGACAAACACGAGCCTGGGCCCTGGGTCTGGCGTGATCTGGGTCATCAGAGTCAAAGGTCAATCCTCTGTGACCTTGTGCAACTGACTCCAGTCTGGACACTGCCTGCTACCACCTGTCCCGTGTCATCCCCCACCCCCAGCTTTGAGAGTCAGGAATGAAAAGGACCTTGGATGGCCAGGCTGTGAGCCTTAGAGTACAAGGGTGCAAACATGCGCTTGGGTCTGTGAATGTTTCTGCAAGAGTAGCTGTGTGCACATGGGCTGTGTGAAAGCATGCACGCGACTAAGCACGTATCATGGATGCATGTCTGTGTACACTAGTGTGCACACTTGAGTGTGTTTCTGTACCCTAGGAGCAAGAGTGTACGTGGCTGTGCATATGGAACAGAGGGGTTCCCCTTAGTTCCTCTAAACTGTTACAACTGGTTCTTTGGGGGCTCCAGTGACCCTGTACCCCTCTCCAGCATTCCCACTTATCACCATGCTTGGGGATGCCAGTTTCTAGGGACTCTCACCCATTTTTCTATCAATCCAGTGCTGTTAGTAGAGACCAGAACCCTGAAGTGATCAGGGTGACCTCTCAGGGTGGTGCAGAGGGTAGTGGCATGCTCCAGCAGACTCCCTCAAGCCCTTTTTGGAATTTAGTGGTGCTGGAGATTAAGCCCGGGCTTCCTAAGCACACTAGACAGATGGTCTGCCACTGGAATTTGCATCCCCAACTTTCAGACTTCTTTTATCATTGCTAAAGATTCAGTTCTGTGCTTCCAAACCTGCTCATCCTTTTTGCCTGCTGGGACCACAGAAGACACTTCTGATATGCCGGATATGGCAAAGGCCTGGTGACCTTCAGCCAAGAGGGAAAAGGCCGCTGTCTCACTTAAGCTAGAACAAACACTAGGGCACAAGTCACATTCCAGGGCCCCCTTTGGGGTTGGGCTGAGGCCCCGAGCCTAGCGTGGTGGTTTGCTCAGTGTCTTCTCCTGCCCTGCCCAGGTTCCCAGCCCCATTCTGGGCTTTTCTCAGGGGTTTCCTTTCTCACTGGTTTCTTTGTCTTGTGTGTCACGGGGTCTTGCCATGTAGCTCAGGTTGGATGAAACTGGTCACCCTCCTGCCTCAGCCGTCTGATGCTGGGATTATGGCCATATAACCACCGTGCCTAGCCAGGGCATTTCCTTAGCTAGCCAGTCTCACAGGGGACTCTTCACCCGAGGGGTCTGATTCTGGACAAGCCAGGAACAATGGGCATAGATCTTACCCAGACCCCAACTATAATACCCATGTCTCGAGATCCCTGAACATGACCACCACAGAGGCGAAATCCGATGCAAGCACAAAGGGGTTTATTAATAGCAAAGCAAGCCCAGGCTTGGTTCGTGTCCAACACTGACTAGCAGGTGGAGGAGGACGGCCCTGAGCTCTCAGGGTGAGGGGTTGTTAAAGGGAAAAACTGCAAGCAGGGTGGTACAAGCCTTTGTGTCATATGATTGGGTGAGGGTGTGTAACCTTTGAATTTACTGACTGGGGGTACAGTTATCATTTTGGGGCAGGCCTGGACAAGCCCCAGGCTCTGTCCTTGAGCTGCCATGGAGGCTGGCTGGCCTTTCACGTTCACAATGACCCATGCATGTAGCTTTAAGTTGGTGGGGGGGTCCCAGAGAGTAAACAACTGGCTGAACCTTGAGCAGTCAGAGTATGTGCAGAAAGGGAGCTACTGCAAGGTTCAGGAAACTGAAATTGAAGCCTGATCTCTGAGAGAAGACTGAGCAGCCTGTTATGGTGTCTGCCTGGTCCTCTCACAACAATCTGCTGTACAAAGAGGACACTGAAGCACAAGAAGGGGATGAGGTTTTAGAGACCCTTGCTCGCCAGCTAGGTGCTACATGCTCACTTGCATCTCCTCTGCAGGGCTGAAGCCATCTTGGTCATGATCCCCCAAAACCCTGGGCTTAGAAGGTTTTGATCCAGCTAGGGTCCTCCAGTCCCCGGGTGATCCCCTTAGCTAGGCATGGTGGCTCACGCCTTTTATCCAGACACTCAGAAGGCAGAGGCAGGCAGAACTCTGAGTTTGAGGCCTGCCTGGTCTGCCAAGCAAGTTCCAGGACATTTAGGTCTACACAAAAACCTTGCTGGGCATGTTGGCTCACGCCTATAATCCCAGTACTTGTGAGGCAGAAGCAGGTGGATCTCTGAGTTTGAAGCCAGCCATGGTTCTGTCTTAAAATACCAAGAAAGAAAGAAAAAAAGAAAGAGAGAGAGAGAGAGAGAGAGAGAGAGGGAGAGGGAGGGAGGGAGGGAGGAAGGAAGGAAGGAAGGAAGGAAGGAAGGAAGGAAGGAAGGAAGGAAGAAGGAAGTGAGGAAGGAAACTCTGTCTTGGAAAAAGAAAACAACCAACCTACTAACCAAACAACAACAGAGGAGAGGATGTGGGTAGATAAGGTGAGAATTCCTCTGCAGGCTTCTCTGCCACACCGTTGTCAAGATGGCTATCAGTACAGCGGACAGACTCTGGGTGATGACGTCTTGAACTCCTCACTCTCAGGTGGGCCTGGCATGATAATTCAGAAACTAGAGGCTTGAGTTCCACCTTTCACTCTCTTACTGGCTGAATGGCTTTAAGGGGTCAACTGGTTCCCTGCGACATGCCAGACTCTTGTCTGTAGAATGCTGGGAGGTAAACACGACAAGGTGCATACGGCAGGCATTTCAGAGTATGAGACTCAAGCCTCCGGCTGGGAGTGTGGCGGAGTGCGTGGATCTCATGCCTGGAGCCTTAGGTTTGATATCCAGCGCCCACACCCTAGCATGGTGGTTCATGCATCTACTCCCAGAGCTTAGGCAGCAGAGCAGGAAGGTCAGAAGATCAAGGTCACCAGAGGCTACATGTGCCCCTGTCTCAAAACAAGAGACTCAAGCCTCGCTTCCACAGCCCATGCCCATGGCTCTTTGAATAATTGAACCAGCTACTTACCTAGCCCGTGACTTAGTTTCCTCATCTGTCAATGAAGACCATCACAGGAGTGACCTCACAGGGTCTGGTGAGGATGAAAAGGGATACAGCACACAGAGCACTTGGCAGGCCCCTGGCACACCGTGAGCTTTGAGATCTGGTGGCTATTTTTGCTCTCGTTATATACCGAGGTTGTATAACTGACTCTGTCCTGTGGCCTCACTGACTTGACACAGCTCCCAGGCTTTGTGACGGTCAAAGGACGGACACGGCATGAAGGACACAGTAGTGGGAACAGTCTTAAAGGGTTTTCCCTCCCTGCTCCGCCGGCCTGGCCTCTAATGCCTTTCCGGTTGGGTGTACAGGGCAGGTGAGCTCCCTCGGATTGGGATGGGCAGGTCTCGGTGTCTGCAGGGTCTGCTGATTGGCACAGCCCATCCCTGGTTGCTTCTGTTTGCTGAGATGAACAGAAGTCGTGCAGGTTTCACCTTTCCCCTATTTCCCTGACAGCCCTCATCCAGACAGGGTCAAGTTTCATTTTGTTTCTTCAAGTTAGAACTGTGTTTGTTTTGAGAAGGTTCTCCTTTTCAATCTTTTATTATAGTTATTGATAATGGGTGGTGGGGATAGGGGTGGGGCTGGGGTGGGGCTGGGCTGGGGGGGGCGCTGCACACCCAAGTGTGCATGTGGCGATCAGAACACACCAGCTGTCCCCTTCCACCCGTGAGTTCTGAGGGTTAACTCAGGGGCAAGCTCCTTCACCCACTGAGCCATCTCACGTTTCAATCTTTAATTATGGCCAAAGATGGGTTACATAAACCTTCTCATTGTCCAAGTGCATCGACCCATCACCGCCTCCCACCTCCAGAATGTCTGCCTCTTGCAAAGTCCCAACACCAGCTTTCTGTCACACTGAGCAAAAGTTTTCTGTTCTCTCCGTCATCCTCGTTTCTTTTTGGTTTTCAGTATTTTATTTAATGTGTTTGAGTGTTTTGCTTGTGTGTATAGTCATGCACCATGTGCTTGACTGGTGTCCCCGGAGGTCTGAAGAGGGCATCGAATCCCCTGGAACTGGAATTGAAGACAATTGTGAGCTGCCGTGTGGGTGGGACTCCAACTCAGGTCCTCTGGAAGAGTAGCTGGTTCTCTTAACCACGGAACCCACTCTGCCCTGGTTTCTGTTTTCCTCATCCACGAGAGGACTGAGTTTGGTAGTGTGATACTTTTGTTGTTGTTTGTTTTGGTTTTGGTTTTTGAGACAGGATCTCACTATGTAGCTCCGGCTGTCTAGTAACTCACTATGTAGACCAGGCTGGTCTTGAACTCAGAGATCCATCTGCCTGTCTCTGCCTCCTGAGTGCTGGGATTAAAGGTGTGCACACTAAGCCTGGCTAATTGGTTTGTTTGTTTGTTTTTCACTTTTGCTTTTGTGTGTGTGTGTGTGATCTTTATATATATATATATATATTGGTTTTTTGAAACAGGGCTTTTCTGTGTAGCTTTGGAGCCTTTCCTGGAACTTACTCTGTAGTCCAGGCTGGTCTCAAACTCACAGAGATCCGCCTGCCTCTGCCTCCCGAGTGCTGGGATTAAAAGCATGTGCCACCACCACCTGGTCTTTTTGTAAGTATTTATTGAAACCAGGTGAGGTTAATCCCAGAAGATCTCTGAGTTCAAGGCCAGCCTGATCAAAATAGTGAGTTCCTGGACGGCCAGGGCTACATAGTAAGATCCTGTCTAGGAAAAACCAAACCAAACCAAACAAAAAACTGAAACCAAACAAACAAAAAACAAAAAAAAGGAAAGATATTTGTTGATCAAACCTATGTACCTGATGCTGCGCCAAACCTAGAATGCAGGGGAGATTCACAAGTTATCACCAGCTACACAGATTTAAGATTCAATGAGCTTAAAAAATACAAAAAATAAGTTTGCTCATTTATTCATTCAACAAACGTCCTCTGCCTCCCACCCCCAATTCAGACTCATGGAACCAGGAAATAGCAATATAGGATCCCATCTCCTCCTCTCTCTGAAGTTTTTCTGGCTAGTGTCAGAATAATGGAGCCCCCATCCCTGCACCTCTCTGCTGAGCTAGCTCTTACCCAAGAAAGGCCCAGCTGCTAGGGAGATCGGGGGAACGGGCACCGTGGTCTCTGGATGTCTGGGAAGAACGATGTCTCAGGAGCTCAGATAATGGGTCCAGCCCGGCTCTGTGGGAGTTTTGTGATCTTGAATTAATTTCTTCCCCTCCTTCCTGACCAATAGGAATTAGCAACACGATATTCACAGGCCTCACACACCTTTGTCCCAGCTAAACTAGATCATGAGTAGGGTTCAGCTCTGACAATCGAGGAGCTCTGTGGTGAGCACAGGGCTCTGGCTGCCACATTCTGTGGATGACAATTTGTGGGAGCTGTCTTTTAAACCTTTTAGAGTTGTCTCTGTGGGTGACTGTTCCAAAGCTGTCCTTTATGCCCCTCCTCCTGTTCCTTGACACAGATTCAAGCAGCCCCAGATTGCTGGCTGCTTCGCCTCCACAATACAGAAAGACAGTATGGTCCAGAGGCAGGCAGGGACTGGGCCAGAGGTCACAAAGCAAACAGACCCGCCTTCCTCTTCCCAAGTGAGTCACTTCATTACCTGGCCCTACCAGATCCTCTCACCAAAACAAAGAAAGCAAAGTCCTCGGGGTCTCTACTAGTTAGTGCGGGAGGCCATCCGTCAAGGGGGACGGGACACCTTTGCTACCTTGACCAAGACCACCAAACCACGGTGCAGGGATGATTTCTTGCCAAGGCTTTGTTTTTGAGTTTTACATGGTCAGATTGAATCTTCACACTGTCTCTAGGAGGTCAGGTAACACTCTGGACAGGTGAAATAACTTGCCTGGGCTAGACCACACTACAGGATACGGTGAGGCTAGCTTCACACCAGGCACCCAGTTTTCTGGGCAGGCTAACTCTGGAGCCCATTCTGAGTGCTCACTGTGGAGCTGCACCAGCACCCCACAGCTCGGGGGGCTGAGGAGTACCTCAGCTCACGGCAGCGAGCCGCACCAGCACCCCACAGCTCGGGGGGCTGAGGGGTACCTCAGCTCAGCTCCCTGTCTCACGGCTCCGTCGTTCAGAGAGTCCTACTGAGGCACTGTCCTCTTCCTCTCCCTTCCTCCCCTTTCCTGTCTCTTCCGTTTCCCCTTCCCTGTTTCTTTTTCTTTCACTATAGCACGAGGGATGGGAACTAGAACCCGGTACAGGCCAGACAGGTGTCCTACCACTGGGATGCTGCCTTATTCTTTTTACTTTTTATTGGGGGACAGGATCTCACTAAGCACTCCAGGCTGGCTTGAACTCACTCTGTAGTACAGGCTAGCCTTGAATGTCACGGGACATTAATCTTTCTCTGCGAAGTTTAGACTTCTGCCTGGATGGAGTTCATGGGACAAATCCTCTGGGGTTTCCCATGTGAACACCAAGTGTCCTCCAAGGGCGTCTTTCAGCGTCCGTCCACAGAAGGCGGCCCGGGTACAAACTCAGTAGCAATCTAAAAACAACTTACTCGGAAAGTTTGGGTGTCGTGGGGGTGGGGAGCCAGGATTTGGACTTACAAGTGCTTCTCCGGGATTCTAACTGCCAAGAGCACATGCAAAGGACATTATGCTGTTTTACACAGTCAAGAAGTCCACCCCTAGCTCTGAGAATAAAAGTCTGCTAGAAGCCCTTAGGGAAACAACGGTAGATCATCCTGTTCTCAGGGCCCAGGCAGCAGCACACTGCCTCGGAGGAAGAGCTTAAGCAGATCCCAGAACACAAGTCCTTGGTAGTCCTAGAGGCTGCTGTGGGGTGGAAGACACAAAGAGCCCTGTGCTTGGAGAGGGCCAGGAAATCATCTCCATCCTACGATCTTCACTGACACTAAGCAGAGGTGGACGGGCTGCCACTCGGGAGGAGTGAGAACGTTTTTCCACCCAAGACTAACTGTGGGTCCAGTCTAGGGACACAGTCCTGCCACTTACTAAGTAACCCCCAGTTACTTAGGAGGTTGAAGCCAGAGGCCTGGGAGTTTAAGGCCAGGCTGGTCAACTTTGTGAGACCCTGTTTCAAATTTAGAAAGTAAAAAGAGGACTGGGGGCGCAGTTCCGTGGCAGAAAGTTTGTCTAGCATTGTGAAGCCCTAGGTTCAATCCTGCATCTCTGTGCAATGTGCAGGTAGCTGGACAGATGCATTAGCTTCTTCCACAGTAGTGTTTCCTACTACTGTAAACTCAGGGAAAGAAGAGGCCTTGTGAGTCTGCAAAGTTTTAGGGCCTTCCTGAGCCTTCTGAGTTATCTTCTTCCTGAGTCTTAAGGAGCCTCCTTCCAGGTTGGACTGTTTTAGCTGGAAGGAAGTTGCTACAAGGCACATATATAGCAAGAATCGTGAGCCTACATTCACTTAAAATTTCATGCACAAATGTTCATAGTAGCATTTTTCATGGTAGCCCAGAGGCAGACAGAAACTATATGTCCATCAGCTGATGGACAGCTACACAGATGTAGTACCCACAAAACCAAATAACATGATTCTGAAAAGAAGTACAGTGCCATACATGCTTCAGCATGGGTGGACCATGAAGCTACATGAGAGAGGTGGAAAAGATTATGTGATTCAACTGCCATGAAAATGTCCAGAACAAGAACATACTGAGAGTAGAGAGTACAGAGTTTCCTGTTTAGAGCTGGGAGGCATGAATGAGAGAGAATGATGCTCTCTCTCTCCACTTGGCTCAAGTTTTCAAAACCATTTATGGTCAGTGGACGGAACAGCACATGCGCTGCTGTAAACATCTGCAACGATGTGAGTGGCCCTCACCTCTGCACCAGCAGCGCTGGGTCCAACTCCAGAATTTTTAAATCCCCAAACAGAAACTCTTCTGTGATTTTTCCCTTACCTTCAGTTCCTGACAACGACAGGGTTTGGGGTTTTCCCCCTGTGATGAAACGTTCTAAAAATAGACTGTGATGATTGCATGATTCTTTGACATACTAAAACATTGAACTGTGTGATTTTAGTGGTGAAATGCATAATGTATGACTTATAGCTCAGTGCTGCCATCACAAAATGGGGTGTGTGTGTGTGTGTGTGTGTGTGTGTGTGTGTGTGTGTAGGGGAGACCAAGACACATCCTCTGAGGCCATCCTCAGCATGAGGTAACAGCTGCCAACCGCTGGAAAAGGTTGCAATGAGTAGACAGGTACATGGTGACAGACACAAACCCAGAGCTGACCTGGTGACTCCGGCCTGTGTCCTTCCTGAGACAACGGGCAGCAGTGCCCATTTCCAGGCATCAATTCTGCTTACCTCAGCTTTACTTCCTGTTCTGTACCTGGTGTTCAGCATTCCATCAAGGAGAAGAGGGGAAAAAACCCTTCCACTATCAAGAAATAAAGCACACAACAAAACCAGAAGGTCAGACGAGTGGAAATGGAGGGGGTCAGAGCTGTAAGGTAGAAACTTAACTCTAATTAAAGATGAATGGTTCCAGTAGAAACCATAAATGTCCTGGATGAGCTTATTGGAAATTTACAGAGACATGAAATCTTTTTATAAAAGTTTATAAAAATGGTAAATAATATATCAAAGAAGTAGTGGGTAGACCAGATGGCTTAGTGGGTGAAGGGGCTTGCCACCAAGTATGATGACCTGGGTTCAGTTCCTGGGATCCACATGGTGATGAGACAGAGACGACTCCCGCAGGCTTTCCCCTGGCCCCCACACAAGCCCCCACATATGCACATATACATTAATACATAAGTGTAAAAAAGCAAAAAGGAAGAAGCGCTCCCCAGCAGACTGGAAACAGCTAAAGAAAGAAACCGAGCATTCACTATAGCAATAGTCACACCCAAAGACAAAGACAAAGAGGACCATGTACCGGAGGAGAGAAAACGCAGCTAAAGCCAGGGGACAATAGAAAACAGTCCAAATACACATGCAGTGGGAGCCCCGGGAGGGAAGAAGAGAACATATGCAAGGAGATATGGCTGAGAATTTTCCAAATTCAACAAGAGACAACAAATCACAGACGCAAGAATCCTGGCAAAACCCCCAAAAGGATAAATACAAAATATGCACATGCCTAGGATATATATAGTTAAACTGCCAAAGACAAAAAATAAAAGTCAAGGTTAAAGGCAACCACAGGGGAAAAGTTATATACAAAAGAGCAAAGACAATATTGACTTCAGGCTCCTGCCAGATGTTTGTAAGCAGCGCACAACAGAGTGATGTCTCCACTACGAGGAAGCCGCCATCCCACAATCCCACCCCAGTGAAAAGATCATTCCAAAAGGGTGGCTAAAAAAGAGTTAGAGCCATGGTGGCACATGACTTTAATCCCAGCATTCAGGAGGCAGAGGCAGAAGCATCTCTTTAAGTTTGAGACCAGCCTGGTCTACATATCAAGTCCAGGACAGATAGGGCTACAAAGAGAGACCCTGTCTCAAAACAACAACGACGACAACACTTTGAAATATAAAGGTTAAGTGTGACTACGTATATACGACAGCAGGTGGAAATCTAGATTTACACAAAGAAATGAAGACTGCTGCCAACTCTAAAATAAAACAAAAGAAAGTAAATATAAAACACCATTGTTATGGCTCAAGTGTTTTCTGCCACCCAAATTCAAGTTGGGACTGTAATTCCTCAATGCAACTGTGTTGGGCTGTGTCTGGATCATGGAGGTGGAGTCCTCATGGATGGACTGCTTCCTTTTGGGGATTAGCTATGTCTTTGGAACGCACTTGCTTACACTTCTAGCTTATATCATGAGTTGAAACAGCAGGTAGCCCTCACTTATTACAGACACATGATCTTGGACTTTCCAGAATCCAAAATCATTAACCAAAACAAACCTCATTTTGTAATAAATTATCCAGTTCCAGATGTTTTGTTACAGCAGTGGTAAGAAGACCAAATAACTGTTTTCATTTTAAATCACCTTGTAGCTCAGCCCTTACTTAGGACATGTGAAGCCTTAGGTCCAATCTCTAGCATTGAAAAAAAGTGGGGGAGGGTTAACGACTAAACCAAAAGTAATAATGGCATATTGTAGTGTTTATAATATCTGTAGAAAAACATGGAGAGGAAGGAGGAAATGGAAATTACGTATCCTAAAATAGTACCTTATTACTCAGGGTAGACTAATAAGCTTAAGCTGCATGGTGTAAAGCCTAGATTAACTCCTAATTCTATTGTCAGCACTGGGGATCAAACCCAGAACATTCTGCAAACTAGTTAAGCTCTCCACCACTGAGTTACATCCCACTCCTGTTTTGTTTTTATTTTTGAGACAGGGTCTCTCACTAAGTTACCCAAGCTGGCCCTAAACTCTCTCTTTAATCCACACAGGCTTTGAAGTTGTGACATTTCAGACTTAGCCCCCTGAGCACCTGTAGCACCAGGCTGGCCTTAAACATTGTAAAGAGTTGTAACTAATAACCCAGCATTGGAACAGAATGGAATGAGAACAAAACACTAATCCAAAAGCAGGCATGGAAAGAGGGAAAAAAAGATAGAAAAAGTCTATATAGGGAAATCATACAAGAGCGGGTGAAGTGGGAGGTTTGGAGCTGTCTTTCAGATGTGATGTCAGCAGCAAAGGGCTGAATTTGACAGGTGGATTTTTTTTTTTTTAAAAAAAAAAAGATCCAACTATATAGACTGTCTGTGGGAATTGCACTTTGGGTAGGTTTAGAGCAAAATGGAAAAAAAAAGCTGCATCACAAAAATATTTCTCAAACACATGACCATAAAAAAATTAGGTGGTTATGTTAATATCAGACAAAGGAGGTTTTTGAATAATAGTATTGGGAATAAACAGGGTGTAATATGTAATAACAAAGAGCCAATTTATCAAGAAGTCAAAACAACCCTAAATATACAGAGCTTAGTAGCCGATCTTTAAAATAAGCCAAACCTGATAGAATTGAAAGAAAAAAAAAATACACAACCCATGCTTTTAGCTGAAGGATTTAAATTTTCTCTCCATTCTTGAATTGGTAGAACAGTTGCTGTGGAGGTAGAGGGAGACTTGGCAGGATAGATATAGCAAGACTCTGCCTAAAAAAACAATCCCCAGCAAGCTTTTGAAAATTGAAGTCATACAAATTATGTCATATAACCAAAATGGAATTAAGAGTGTAGAAGCAAAGCTGAATTTCCCTTCTCCAGTGTTTGGAAACAACACAGTTCTGAATAAACAAACTCATAGAGGAAATTACAAAAAAAAATTTAAGTGTTTTCTATTGAGTGAAAATATAAACATAACATCAAAATTTATAGGTACAGTTAGAGCAGTTTTTAGAGATGATTAAATGTTTACATTAATCCCAGTACTTGGGAGGCAGAAGCAGATGGATCTCTGTGGGTTTGAGGCCAGCCTGGTCTACAAAGTGAGTTCCAGGACAGTCAGGACAGTCAGGGCTACACAGTGAAACCTTGTCTCAAACAACAACAACAATAAAACACACACATACACACCAAACAAACAAACCAAAAAAGTAAGAAAGGCTTGGAATCAATAAAGTGAAGAAAAAAGCAAATTGTAGACAAGGCAAGCAGAAGAAAGGCATTAAGATAAAAGTGGTGGTAAATGAAATTGAAAACAGGTAGAAAAAATGAGGCTGGTCAAGGGGAAAATAGGTAAAGACACCGACTCTCTGTGTGAGGATTAAAAAAAAAATAGTTATTGCTTTCCAGTAGAATTAATCCAGAAATCAAATTAAGGCTTTCTCATTATGATTTGAGCTAATATAAGAGACCTTTCCCATCCAGAAAAAGGAAGCAATCTAGAGGCAATACTGTGTAGTTACACAATATGTGTAGTTATTGGCATCTAATGACATTTGAACTATTTCAGTTACATTGAGAAACTTTTTTTTTTTTTAAGAGACAGGGTTTCTCTGTGTAGTTTTGGTGCCTGTCATGGATCTTGCTCTGTAGACCAGGCTGGCCTTGAACTCACAGAGATCTGCCTGCCTCTCTGCCTCTGGAGTGCTGGGATTAAAGGCGTGCACCACCACCGCCTGGCAGAGAAACTAATAATTTAAGACACAAGAAAAAATGATATAGAGTATTGAATGTATGTTTTATCTTTCTACACCCAGTGATGAGGACATTCTCACATTGCCCATGCTCCTGTCTCTGTTCCAGTGTTAACAGTCCAAACTGAAATCACCAGTGGCTTTTAAAAATGGCAGCTCCTTTCATCAGTGAAGGGGCTAATTTGCTTACACGACAGCCATATTCGCCAGCCGGTGGTGGCGCACGCCTTTAATCCCAGCACTCGGCAGGCAGAGGCAGGCAGATCTCTGTGAGTTCGAGGCCAGCCTGGTCTACATGGTGAGTTCCAGGAAAGGCTCCAAAGCTACACAGAGAAACCCTGTCTAGAAAAACCAAAGAAAAGAAGAAGAAGAAGAAGAAAAAAAGAAAGCCATATTCAAATGAAGACTGACGTTTTCTTTCTGCTACACATTCACTTAACAGTATCTCACTCTAAGATTCAAACAGCTGGATAACAAAACTATGTTTTTCCCTTAAAATTCCCTCTAGACTGGTTCCAAACAGTGTAATAGTGACAGCACAGTTCCCTGGGGCTGTTTCCTGGGCCGTTTAAAAGAGCTAAAGGGAGCTGAGTGGAGGCATGTATGCATTTTCCCCTCTCTGCCCTGGATGTGGATGTGACTAGCTGCTCTAAGTTCCTGCCTTGACTTCCCTGTAAAGATGAACTGTAACCGGCAATGGTAGCCGAATAAACCATTTCTCTTAAAATAAAGAACACACAAAAAAAGAAAGATAGAAAAGAGTTACCATCACAGCCCCTACAGAGAGTAAAAGAATAGCAAGTGACTGTTACGAGCAGCTGTATTGCACTGTATTTGACATTTTAGACCAAATGTCCCGGAGGAAGGCCTCGGAAGTAGCCAGGCCATTTCTTCCACAACTGCTCCTTGTATAATACTGAGTTGGAGGCCAGTCGAGGAGGGAGCGGGCGGGATACAGGGTGTCCATTGCTGTGGACAAGAAACCTCTGGTCCCAAGTGGGGTGAGGTTGACCTGGCAAACTGGGCTAGCTAACTGAGTTCAAATTCCCCCGAGTTTATCTTGGGCCTGAACCTATTTCTCAATCTCAGGTACACAAGAGGTGACAGCTGTAGCGCAGACTTAATTCTGGGGATTGCCCAACAGCAGTGTGGTAAAACTCCCAAATCCTTCTCTCCACCCCTCCCTTCATCCTCTAACCCCTTCCCATCGGTCTCAGGTCTCAGCATTGGCCTAAGCAGGACGAAGCAAGTCTGGCTCCTCTTCTAACTAGTCGCCTTTCCAAGCCT